GGTAGGACAGGGAGCCGTAGGGATGACCTTGAGTCCCTAGCTTACACCTTAGTATTCCTTCTTAGGGGAAAGCTTCCATGGCAAGGCTACGTGGTAACTATACATTCCACAAAAATCTCCATATCTAGCTTTTTCTTATTCTGCTAAAACGTGATCGTTTGGTTGTGATGCAGGGTGAAAATAAAGGATTTCTTGTCTGTAAGAAGAAGATGGCTACTTCTCCTGAGATGCTGTGTTGCTTGTGCCCTCCTCCTTTTCAACATTTTCTTGAAATGGTCACCAATATGAAATTTGACGAAGAACCAAATTACTCAAAGCTCATATCCATTTTTGATAACAGTATAGGCTCCAATGTCTTGCTACGGCCAATTCTAACTGATGGGGCCATAAAGGTTGTTTATTGGTTGCTTAATTGGTATTACTGTCGTTTTGCTTTAAGTGGTCTTCAGTTTCTAAATTATGCTTTTGGTCTTTAATGTGCTTTAGGCTGGCCAAAAGAGGGGAAGGTCTCTTGTTGACTTGGGAGACGAGGGCCAACCGAAAAAGAAAATTAGGCTCGGGACCCCTGCCACACAGTGGATTTCAGTATACAATTGTAGAAATTCAATGAAGCAGAGGTATGTGATGCAAATAATACAATAATTCAAATCATACTGAGGCTGTACATCCTCACACGGTGGTATTGTGAGCATATACAATAATACAAATAATTCTTATGTGCTGGTTGTGAATTATGATCTAGTATATCTGATTAATATTTTTTTTTTGTTTACATGGGTGCTATTTCATCCCAGTCACTCGCTTTTTGCATCATTTAGCCTATTAGAGCACCTATTTCTGCCATGGATTTTGAGTCTTAAACACCAATTTGTTGGATTTCTAATCCGGTGATGGGAACTCTTGACATGCAGGTATCATTATAATGTTGTAGATTCAAGGCTTGGGCAGCATGTTGACAAAGGAAGGGAAGATGGTCTATTCATTAGCTGCATCGCTTCATCTGCCAATTTGTGGGCAGTTGTCATGGATGCAGGAACTGGGTTCAGTGCCCAGGTTTATGAATTATCTCCCATTTTCTTGCCCAAGGTTGGTATTCTTCACTTTTCTGGAATACATATGGAAGTCCTTTCTTAGCCAGCAACGTTTTCATGCTTTGTTATTTTCTTATTATCTCATCAGGAGTGGATAATGGAGCAGTGGGACAAGAACTTTTACATAACTTCTATAGCTGGGACAACTAATGGAAGTTCGTTGGTGGTTATGTCAAAGGGTATAGATATATTTTAACAAAATGTTTGTAAAATCTTTTCAATATTTTTTCGTTTGTTTGATCAATCTAGCTGCTCCAGTATTTTGACGTGGGAAACTCTTTTTCTTTAATGATCTTGAAGGATTTTGATTGATTGGGGGCTTGCTGAACTTAGACAGACTGGACTAGGCTAGCTGAGGGTTGAGGGCTTGTATTATTGAAGGAATTTGCCCTGATTTTGAAGTCTATGATTTTCATGAACAAAGTTTGATGGCTTCTGAACTAGGCGAGATTGGATTAGGCAAACCCTACTCAAAGATGTGCCTTAGTTCACTATAGTTGGTTTCAGAAGGATGCTGTTCTAGCTCTTTCCTACTAGAATAGTGATGTTTCCTATGACGGGTGGCAAGTTTTGATTTTTTAAGAGTTTCCCGATGAAGCAAAAGTAGTATGGGTGTGGAAACATGCCCGTGCAGTAGAAGATCATGAACAGTGCGTGATGAGGAAACAATAGTTTCCTTACTATACAGTTTTAAAAGTATTGAGTGTATTCAACCAACAGCTTATACACATTTCACTTACCCTTGAGTTCGTATTGGTTAATATGATAATTGTTTTCGTAGAGCTTTTTGCTTAGTAAATCTGACATTTTCTTTCTTTGTTTTTGTAGGGACTGCATATACACAGCAATCCTACAAAGTTAGTGATGTATTTCCTTTTAAATGGATCAATAAAAAATGGAAAGAAGGATTCTCTGTTACCTCAATGACAACTGCAGGCAGTAAGTGGGGGATTGTCATGTCCAGGAATGCAGGTTATCCAAACCAGGTTGGGCTAATGATCTTACCACACTCCTTGATACATCTATTTGTGAAGGAATATCCGAATATGGATCAAAATGCTTATACGTTGCCTCCCTGCTCTCTCTCAACTAGGTGGTTGAACTCGATTTCCTTTACCCTAGTGAAGGGATCCATAGAAGATGGGAGAATGGATACCGAATTACTGCAGCAGCAGCCACAGCCGACCAGGCTGCGTTCATACTTAGTACCCCCAAGAAGAAAACACCAGAAGTTGCTCAAGAAACCTTGAGAACGTCTGCTTTTCCTAGTACCCACGTTAAGGTAAACCAAAAAGTTTTAGGCTTTTCTGCTCTCATGCTCCTATGTGAAATAAATAAACTCTCCTTATTGATTTATCCTTGGAAAACAAACCCTTTGGCTTGCTAGGCTGTTAGGCTATCAACCAATTGATTCATCTCTTCTATCTTTCGTTTTCCTTGCTGTTGTTTTCATCTAATTCACAATAAATTTGGTCTACTGTCTAAGAAGGAAGGGTTGTGATTTTTTTCTTGTGTGATGATGATAGGATAAATGGTCAAAGAATCTGTATATTGCCTCAATATGCTACGGAAGAACGGTATCCTAAAGCTTCCGACTGGTTGGAGGAGGCCGCCTGTCTCCCAATCCAGAATCAGGTACTCAATCTCTCATCTCTCTTTCTGTCGCAAAGCCCGCGGCTAATGAATGTACTGAGCGTTTTTACATATTTGGGGGCGGAAATAGCTGACACTCTCTGTTCTAACCTAATATAGGTTGTTGGGTTCACTTCTTAGCACTGGTGTATTGCCTGCCTAAGAGTCCTGGGGGAAGGAGCAAGAGTAATATCAGTATGGCTAGAGAATTCTGTTTTTGGTTGTTGTAGAGGGGTTACCATATCCATCAATGATGAAGAAGAAGAAGAAGAAGAAGAAGAAGAAGAAGAAGACATCCTTAAAGCGCACGCGGTAGAATGAGCCGCTGCCAGCATCAGTATTCATGTCTTTTGACTGGCTCATTCTGGCCTTGCCTTATTTTGAAAAAGAAGCCAGAACAAAAAGGAAGTTAAAATGTTGTATAGTGACTAAAATCTATATTATGACGGAGAAGGCTATGATGGCTGCCCTGTTGTTTGGAAACTGGTGTAATAGTCTGGAGAGAAAACCAGTAAACTGGTATACACAGTCCGAAAGGAACATGGTGGGTTTAGTGTATTTCAGTCTAAAGGCAAAGTCTGGAGGGTGTTAGGTTTGCTACAAGGAAAGGAAAGGTTCCCCTAAGCCTCCTGTTGTAATGTACCTTTTTCCCGAGAAAGAAGAAAAACATACTCGGCTCCCCGCCCTCCCACCTATTCTGCTCATTATTATGTATGTATGGTCAGATTGACTTAGAGATTCATCTCATCCATGTGTTTCCATTTCTCTTTAGAAGATTTGATGACGTGCTTTCACATCACCAAGTTATCAAGCAATGTCTCCATTGCCTCTGCAGTCGTGGAGAGCGTGTTGTAGCCATTTGTGGATGTGTTTTCGAGACGAATCGGACTATGTATTCCAGGTGCATCGAGTGTTCACTGTTGCTGCTGAGACAAACCTCATGCAAGGTTTGTGGAGTCTGACCACAATGGCTGAAAGAGCTCAACATGGAGAAGTAGTATGTGTAGTAGTCCCATCGGCTTCGGAAGTGTCTCCTATGGTCAAATCCGGCCCACGATCTCGGCCCACGGTCTGAGGTATGATTTGGGCTTGCAAGGTCCACATTTCGGACAAGATTGTGTTCCTTGCTTCTGCAATGTTCAGACTCTGTCTTCCTCACACTGAAGCTCCGCGTCAGAACACGCTCCTTCCCATGTGTGGGCAGCCAAATTGGACCATTCGAGAGACACTTGTTGCTGAGTAGGATCCACTGTTGAGATATTTGAACTATAGTCTATATATAAACAAACAAACGCAGAGCTCCATGGATTCAGTCTCCATAGTGGGAATACAAACGAAGAAAGAACAATCTCTCTTCTTTGCTGCTCTGTTTTTCTGTTTTTTGCCCGGAAATGGGTATTGGAGAATACTGGTGCGGCAGTCCAGGCACTGAGACTATTCAGCTAGGGAGGAAGAGCGGTGTTTCTTCTTATTCTTCTTCTTCTTCTTCTTCTTCTTCTTCTTCCAGTGGAATCATGCGCAAGGCGAGATGGAAGCTGGTTTTGTTGAATCTGGTGAAGGAAAAGAGTGCTACTACTGCTCAATACGATGAGTTCAGTTATGCCCTCAACTTCGATCGAGGGGATGCAGCCGCTGCAGAAGCAGCCATGGATGAACCAGAATACTTCCGCCGAACTTTCTCCGTCCGGTATGCCGATCCCTCCACCCACCGCCGCTGCAGCAACAACAACAACAATCCCTCTCTGCTTTAATCCTTTCCTTCCCTTGGTTTTTTCTTTTACCCTTTTGATCTGGGAAGTAACTGTATAGCAGTATTAGGAGCTGGCATTCTGCTGTAAAAAGACTGCCATTCATAGTCAGATGCTTGCAATTTCTGTTTGCCTGTGTACTTTTCTTACAAAAAAGTAGTTCGTTAGCTGTACTGTATATGTCTATATCGATCCAGCAGATTTTCTTGTCCTTCAATGGAGGATGCTGCTGACAGAATCAAGATGTGATCTGTGTAATGATCTGCAATTGCGTGTTTACAGGTAGGTTTTAACTAAACACAGCACGCTTTGTCGTGACTAATGTAGATTCGAATAATTGCCCTTTTCTGCTTATGAGAGGTTCTTCTTCCTCCACGGCAGAGCAGCTCAGCAGGTGGCCCTTTTCATTTTAAGTTTCGTGGGGTTGACACTTTGATTACAAGATTGAAACTTTTCGTTAGATATCAATCACCACTACCTGGAGTGAGAAACAAGCAAGGAAGAAACTGCATATACAAAAGATGAACAGGAGCCATTGGATTCTTAGATCCAACAACCATATGTGCCGACTGATTAATTTCAACGGATGCGAATTCATGTCAAACTGTACTTTGGGCACCATGGCACAAAGAATATGCTGAAAGTTTCCACATCGGGCAGTGATTACAACACGGTTTAGGACTGAAGGGTCCCCCCCCTCTCCAGGCCTCTTAACTCCCAAGACTTTTTCTTCCATGAAAGCTGCTGGGAGATTTGGCGATGCAATTTCAGTAAGAAAGAAACTGCAAACTCTTTTAATGCCATTGTTATCGAAACGCCTCCATTGAGAAACCGAGGCAATCAATAGAAAGATAGAAAATTTCAAGTGTGTTCTGTCAAAATCCGGGACCTTCTGCAAACAGAAACCGGGAGAGTAGATTTTGAAGAACCAGAGAATGGTTCTGATACTTTGTACCGGGCTCGCAATTGTGGGACTGATTTGACTCTTTACTAACTGTAGAACTCAGGCTTCAAGACACCAACATAGGGCAAGTTCCTGTATACTTCAGCAAAGTCCATTCCATATCCCACCACAAAGTAATCTGGACACTGCAAAATGCACAAAACATGAGCAGCTCAGCAAAAGAGACCCACCAAGCTTAGCATCATCATAGATGAACTTCGTATCCAAAGGCGCAAACTTAATCAATTAAGTTTGCAACTTCGACGATGAACCCTGTTAGCTGTGATGTATGGAAATTAGAGGGCTATAGATTGAAATGTGGCTCTAATGGTTTTTGGTTTCCTGCCTAATTCTGATTTGCTCTTTGATTGCTACTGCTGCTTAAGACACCAACATAGGGCAAGTTCCTGTATAATTCAGCAAAGTCCATTCCATATCCCACCACAAAGTAATCTGGACATTGCAAAATGCACAAAACATGAGCAGCTTAGCAAAAGAGACCCACGAAGTTTAGCATCGTCATTTCGTATTCAAAGGTGCAAACTTTATCAATTAAGTTTGCAACTCCGACGATGAAATCTGTTAAGTGTGATGCTTAGAAGTTGGAAACGGGAGTGCAACAGATTGAACAAGAGTACATGGTGATGAAATGGGTCTCTAACGGTTTTGGTTTCCTGCCTAATTCTGAACTACTCTTTGATTGCCACTGCTGCGTAAGGATAACAGTTTAGAAGGAAATGCTACCAAACCAAGGTCGTGAAATTCTCCATGTTCCCTGTTCTCTTCACAAAGTTGAGTTCTTTTGCAATGCAGGCAGAGAAGCATGTTAAAATAGAGCAAAGAAAGCAAAGCCCCAAACCTCGAATCCTCTGTAGTAATTTCCACTACCCACAACCCGAAACTCAACTTTCCGTCTCGCCGGCTTATCCAGAAAAGCGCAAACCGACACCGACGACGCACCCTTCTTCTCCAAGTGTCCAATCAGACTCGCCACTGTGCTCCCCGAATCCACAATGTCCTCCACCTACACGGAAAGAAATTCTTCATTCCCCAATCCCCAGTTCCAATTTTTTAAACAGCTTCCGGCAGTGAGGGGAAATCGCTTACCAGAATGACGTGTTTACCCGTGACGTCCAGCTTCAGGTCGAGGGAGAGCCGTGGAGCGCCGGTGGATTCTGTTCCGGCGCCGTAGGAATCGGCGCGGATGAAATCCACTGAAATCGGCAGCTTGATTTGCCTGACTAGGTCGGCCAGGAAGACGAAAGCTCCCGTGGCGACTCCGACGAGGACCGGGGCCGGAGAATTGGGGGACAAGTCGGAGGTGATCTCCGCGGCTAGCTCGGCGACGCGGTCGGAGATTTCGCCGGCCGTCCATAGGACCTTCTCTATGTGAGAGTCCAGAGCCATTGGCGCTCAGAAGTAAGAAGACTGAAACCCAGAGAGTTTTTTTTTTTTTTTTTCAGACCTGTATTTTATTAATGCCTCACGGGCTTAGAATCAAGAAAGGGTAACAAAACTAAAGGTGGCCGGGCTTCCCAAATTACTTGGGCATCCCAATTACATGTTAAGTGGGCCAGTAGATGGGCCGCCCCATTACACTCCCTTCTGGCAAAGTTCCACTGGACCGAGCCCAGTCTTCTTGCAGCGGTCTGTAGATCTGCGATCATCGCTCCAGCTTCCAGCCTCGACACCTCCTTCTGCTTCAGAGCGAGAAATGCGCTTTGGCAGTCGGTTTCAACGATGGCTGCTTGGTATCCACACCTTTCCACCTGCTTCAGACCAAAATCAATTGCCCTTAACTCAGCCAGCTCCGGGGGCCATTGGGTACGATCCCTGCATACCGCCGCCATCAAGAATTGTCCGTTTGCATCGCGAGCCACCACACTGAGACCAGTTCCTTCGTCTTTGAACACCGCAGCGTCCACATTCACCTTGATCCACCCCTCCGGCGGCGATTCCCATGTGTGTATTTCCCTCTCTCTAGACTCTTGCTCCTTGGTATGAAGGTCCCTGAATTCTTCCCAATAATTTAGGGCTTTCCCCACGATTTCCCCTTCCTGTGCCTTCCTGTTGTTGAACAAGTGATTGTTCCGTTCATTCCAAATTGACCATAGGATTACACTGACCTGACCTAGGGTATCATCATCCACCCTCTCCATGACCTCGCAAAGCCAACTCCCAGTAGAAATGTCGGGTTCCAGTTCGAAGAGATGTCTGAAGCTTGTTGTCTGAAACCCAGAGAGGTTTTTATTTACTTATATTTTAATCGCTTTTCTTTGTTTACATACGACGGCGTTTCAGTGATGTTTTGCCATATTCATAAGAGCACACATTTGGTTTATTATAGCAAACCTGCGTTCATTAGTTCAGCATAAACGGTGAATATGATTTTAAATCTATAGATTGTTAACAATCTCTCGATTATTATATGAAAATTATGAAACTTTCCACTCTATTTCGAAACTCATTACTTAGGTTTTTTTTGTTCATTCTTATAATTCCAATTATTATATAATTCATCAGAAGAATTTTTGTTTTGAACATAGACATCTTTTTTTCTAGCATTTCCCTATGGATCGTCACCCTAAATACTAACTTGAATTCAATAACAAAAATTGATTGCATTTGTGAGATGGTTTGAATACTTTGTTAGAATTTTCTGGTGATGGATTGTATGGATTTGAATTTGTTTATGGTTCTTAAAAAAAGAACTTGTTTGTGGTTAATGATAATTTCACTTCGAAATTAGTGTATTATACAGTTATTTTATGTTATAACTTATAACACATGAACTGATTTATTAACTATTAACCAACAGTTTTATAACAGCTAATCGGTAAATCATCAATCAATAATTTTTCTAGTTCAACATCGGTATGATTTTAAAAACATTTTAAACAATTCTCATCTCAACCACAAAATATGCAGGTGCTCATTTTCATTAAAGGATAATCCTTACTTTTTTTGGTAAGAAATTAAAATCCAACTCTAATTAAGGAAAATTTCTGGAAACACACATGCCCGATAATTATTATTATTACTAGATTGTACCCCGGCCGTTGGCCGATTGCAATATGATTGCCGTAATTAAAAAAGCTTTAAAGCTTAAATTTCAGTAATATCCACTTCCCTTATATTATTGCCATGCTTATATATCAACAAACAACATGTGAATTAACAACATTTGCCTTCCATGTTGATTCTTGTTGAAATTCAAAAAGTAAGTCTTATGCAAAGTATATTAACTCATATTAAACTTGATGTCACAATATTATAGGTATTCCAAAGTAATCCGTTTATTCATCAAGAATTTTCATTATTGACTCCACTATCTTCACTTTTATCTTTTGTATTTTTGTGAAGCATATTCAAACACAAAACATGATCATATATGATATATGCAATGTAATTTTCATGACAATTTACATAATTTTACTAAAAAAATGTTGTTGGAGGTTAATTTTTTCCATTATTGATTATCTTCGAAACTATTAACCCATTTATGGGATTTATGATGTTTTATTTTTGTCAAAAGAAAAAAATGCATTCCTTCATTTAATGAGACATTAGGAAGAGGAGGTATCATTCTCCCACTATTTTCAGTAGCTTTTCATCATTAACTCTAAAAATCAGAATTCTTGATGACCAAAGACAACAAAATTATATTTTGTAGTATCCAAAACTCAAGTTGGAACTTAAATATTAAAAGCTTTAGTAATTGATTGGTAGTATCTACCATTCGAGTTGGGTCTCAAATATGAAAAATGCTGATGATTGAGATTCATTATTTAGAAGAGAAATATAAGGTTTATTGAGGATGATTCTTAAATTGACTGAATATTACTTACAAACTTGATCACATATGGATTAAAAATAAATAAATAAATAAATAAATGAATTACCATAAGGGCCAATTCTCTTAGAGAGAAAAAATATTTTTTCCAAAACATATATCAAAATGGATATCATCTTCTATAGTTTAACCCATTGGAATTTTCAAAATAAAAAAATTAAAATCCAATATAAAACAAATGAGATATGATCAATTATAAATCCTCTCACTAATATATGGAATTGATCCCCACGCAATCCTAATCCTATTTTGTCACCATTATGATAATGTATTATTTTGCTTGAAACTCATAACAATATAATTTAATATGTATTAAATATTTAATATTATTATGAGTTTATCTGTAATTTTTTGTCTTCATGGTGTTTATGTATGATAAAAATACGCACTAATTGTGTAGGGTAATTCTCGAACCCGAAGCATTTCTGTGGGTACGGGTAAAACCCGAAACGAAATATCGTGGATAATGGGTGGACACGGGTTTCTCAATATCCAACTCGAACCCGCCCGATTACACACATGCATATGTATTTAGCATAGAAATTATCACTATGTTTCTCAACATAGTTTATATTTAGCATACAAATATAATATTTTCATAGAATTTTTGTTTGAAATTAATTTTCTTCGCTCTAGTGAATTAACGTCATACTTTTTCACTTATATAATGTGAGTACGTATGAATATTAACATGTTGATCGGATTTATAAAGAGAAATTATTACCCACGGATAACCGTAAATACCCTAAACCCGAACGGGTATGGACATGATTTTGATTTTCTACCCGATTTTTATGTGGCTATGAGTTATATATCAATCTCACTGCTTTAAGCAATTATGACTTGAGTCGGAATCAGAAACCATATTATTTGAGACTCAAATTATTCATTCTCGTTGTTGTATTATGTGTTGCAGAGAAGATGGTTTAGGCTTCCGACAAAATAGAAATCTAATTGAAAAAGATAATTAGATTTAAACCACAGCCCAATCCCAAAAGCTACCCGATTCTCACCCAAAAACAAAACTTGGAAGCCCAACCCAAATGCCTAATCATGTAACTCTGAAGTCTTTATTCACGTAGCCGAGGTAATATATAATGTGAAAAAGACTTACATAGCCTTCCGTGAGATGCGGTTAAGCCTCCAAATTCAGTTTTAACCCACTCTCCCCACAGAATCTCCTAATATTAAAGGGTAGATTATTGTTATTGTTATTGTTATTGTTGTAACGGTTCCAACCTTTTCTCAAAAAGATATTTTTCGCTTTGAATTTAGACCCACACGGGTTGTGTATTGGAATATATATTAAGATAACTTCTTATAATGTCACTCATCCTTTTAGTGCTTCATAATGGCACATTTAACTTAGAAGTTCTTAAAAGAACTCTTCCATTTCACCCCAAACTAGTGATGGCAATGGCGCGGGGCGGGGCGGGTACCTCAATACCCATGCCCCACCCTACGCTAGTGCGGGTCGGGTCAGGTTATACCCGTACGGGTACGGGGCGGGGGCAGAGCGATCTACTCTTTTATGTCATCTGAAAAAAATACACGTAAAATTTTACGAAGGAGAAAACACTTAATGAATGGAAAAAATCGATAATATAACGGGTATGAGTCTAATTGTTGAAAGATCAAGTCTAACTAGTTGAAGAAAAGTCAAAATAGGAGAAATTTGAATAGATACTAAGAAATTGAGATAGAATGAGGCAAGAACGAGACTGGGCGGAGCAGGGCAGGGCAGGTTGGGTCGGAAGTAGATACACATGCCCTGCCTCGCACTACTACGGGTAGGGTAACACCCGACGAGGCGGGTTCAAATTTACATCCCTACCCAAAACACATTTTCTCAGTTAAAGTCGGTTTCTTACTTATAGATCTCTCATTTACTACCTTTGTGAAATTTTCCTAACGTTTAATTTACTACCCCCCCCCCCCCTCTCCTTCAGGGACTCAATATCCTCGTTGAGATTTGTCCCATCATCACCCAAGAGGGATGAATAGAGTCTCTGATACCACTCCACTTGTAACATCGCCCGAACCTTTTTTCTGACAAGATATTATCTGCTCTAGGCATGCACCCACACAGAGTTCGCCTTGGGGTACATATCAAGGCGACTTCCCATAGAGTCACCCATCTTTACGGTGCTTCACAGTTTCATTTCAGTCGAAAAATGCATCTTATCAATTAACGTCGGGTTCTTACTTATGAATCATAAATCTCATTTGTACTTTGTCGACGTGAGATTTGCCTACCATATTACAAAATTCTTACTTTCTATTTGGTTGGGTAAGAAATCAAATCCAACTCTAATTAAGGAAATTTTTGGAAAGACATAAGCAAGACAATTATTATTATTATTATTATTATTATTATTAAAAGAAAAGAAAAGGAAGAAGAAAAAGAAAAAAGAAAAAAAGGATTGCATGCATCATGTCTATCGACGTGGCTCAGCCTCCCTCCGTCTATATAAATGAACTACCCCTTCTGCCGATCACTTTTTGTTTCTCCAAACCCCAGCAGAGAGATGGCAAACCACGGCAGCAACGGAAGCTCCGACGACCTGACCTTCCCCCTCGAGATCCCGCCGGCCAAAATTAGGTTCACCAAGCTCTTCATCGGTGGCGAATTCGTCGACTCTGTTTCAGGTAATTAGTCACATTAATCAATCAATTCACAGATCTTCCATTTATATTCCCCATAACTGCTCGGTTATCCTCTTCTTGTTCTCTCCCCGGGCATCGGTTGCCGTATACTCTGTCGATCGGTCGCTTCCGCCGGTCAAAATTCTCCGGGGGGAGCCCCTATAATAAATCCATTAAACCAACCCTCTCTAGTGTTGGTGAAACCGTACTATATCGAATAGGCCCCGCTCTTGTAATACGTCTGCCCATAACATTGCTCAACGGTCTAAATACATCCCTCCAGTCCAGAGGGTTCGACGTGGTCTGGTCCATCACCTTTTTTCCAGTAGTGGCGGACCGAGAAATTACAGAAAGGGTATTCAACGATAAACCAAAACTAACGAGGGGTTGTCGAATATTCTTGTGCTCAAATACTATCACCACTGAAATAAAATTTTACAAAAGAAATTTCATCCCCAAATTAGATCAAGGTTTGTCAATTGACAAACCATTGGCTAACCTAGGTCCGCCTCTGTTTCCTATGATTTATTTTCTTAATTTTCTTCTGCAACTTCGTACGCTTGGTTGAGCACTATGAATAAAATGAAATGCTGGTGGCTATTTGATGAATAAAATTGTGTGGATTTACCCCTTTGCGAGTATATTCTAACTTATTAAAAAATGAAAAACTGGAATTCATCTCAATCGAAATTGTCTTTCAGACTAAGAAAATACTTTTATCACTTACTTTTCTGGTATAAAATATGTGATGTGAGTTTACAAACGTTCATCGATTCTTTGTGAATTCCTGGAGTGAAAGTGAAGTTTTTTTTTTTTTTTTGCTAATCAATAGACCCTAAAAAAAAATCGGAAAGCGCTGCCACCGGCGCCGTACACTCCAAATCACCGGACCGGTCGACCGTCCCCGTAAAATCCGGCTGAATTTAATTACTATAATACGGTCCTTGCCCCTCCTGTAATATTGGACGACTGACATCTGGACGCCATGCCGGGGATTTCGGTTCCTCTAGCTGACTGAGTACTATAACTGGCTTTGGCTATAATCGGCGGCATGGCATCACCGGCCGGCGACGTTGCCTCGTCACCGGCTGCCGCCGTACGTACGTATATTGTCTTTTTTTTATAAATAAATGAATTTGGATTTTGTGGCAGGGAAAACGTTCGAGACGATTGACCCGAGAACCGGGGAGACGATAGCAAGGGTGTCGGAAGGAGATAAAGAGGACATCGATTTGGCCGTCGGAGCTGCCCGCCGTGCTTTCGACCACGGGCCCTGGCCCCGCTTGCCCGGCGCTGTACGTATTAGTTACTTCCTCTTATTCTGTGTACTTACTGTGATTAATTAGTACGTAGTAAAATGGTTAACGTACGTCGAAATCTCATTGTCATATCATGATATTTCGCTTTCTCGTCGAAAAGTTCAGTCTCTTGATTGCATTACGTAATAATTTGTGGAGAGTTGAGACAATTCGTGGGAGAATCTTGCTCTCTCAAATGTCTTTTTTTTTTTTGTGTCCCCTTCCCTTTAGTGCCTTGTTTGGGAGAGTTGAAAAGATGGAAGTGATCAAAAGTGAGCTAAACCAAGAGTGGAAGAACTAACATCTTTGGTCAACTTGGATAGCAAAATTTTAGGGTTTCCGGAAGAATATTGTTTTTAGTTAATTTTCACGGCATTTATATCTCGATATGTCATATGGAGTGATATTTATATTTTTGTTAATAATGCGGAGCTATCATACGATCTGGGAGGAGCTATATAATATAGATCTATATCATTTAATTAGTGACGAACTTAGGGGTTTAGAGCGAGGACGTCCGATAAGGAGAAAAAATTCTACAGCACTGCATGTAATTTCTTGAGATTGAGCTGGGGTTTAGACGAGGGACTAGTAACCCATCATTTTGTCACACTTGAGGAGACCCCTAACTGTTTCTGAACTACACGTAGTTCCGCTGCTTTCTAATACTTAGTTTGAGATTATAAATGTTTATACATATGTTAATAACTCGTACAAATACTCCATCCAAACGACCCCTTAAGAGTCTAGACGCTGACTCCCCCTCGTTATCACCTCATTATTGATAGTTCCTTGAAAAAAACAAGTTGTGAGGAAGAGAATTGGAGGCGTCAAAATCAACCCATAATTTCAGGATGGAGGGTGAGTTGTGTTATTAATGGCTTATGGCCTGGTGGTGTGGTGTGTAGACAGTGGCAGCAGAGTCACATTGTTGGTAGGTGGCTATAGCCCATTAACTCTTATGAATAAGTACACTTAGATACAAATTTTGAGGAGGGCATTGAGGTCTTGTTTAGTATCTAACTTGTTAGGTATCGTCCAGGCGTGCTGAGGCGATGGAAGTAAAAAATATCAATTTGGATTATATGACGAACGAGATAACAATTTACGACACTTTCGCACTTTCGTTTAAATAATTGATAACTTATTTAACAACAAAAAAGCAGATAGCTGATCACAAGTTGATAGAATCATAGCTCTATATATATATATGACAAAGTTATGTCTTTAGCTATTGAAAATATTGAGATTGAAGATTGACAGTAAATTATGTTAATTTTCTCCTTTATACTTGGGACCAGGGGCGGACCTATATATATATGAAAGGTTTGTCAATTGACAAACCTTAATTCAATTTTAAAACAAAATTTTTTTTGTAAAATTGTTAATTTAGTGATGGTAGTATTTGAACTAAAGACAATTTGACAAGTATTGATGACTTTGTTTAATCGTTGAATACCCGTAACATAATTCTTGGGTCCGCAACTACTTGGGATATTACCTTGACGTGGCCTTACTTCGTCTACGTGCTGCTATCTATACCTAACTCATCAAAATGATCAATCAATAAATTAGAGATGTGGGTGTGGTATTAATTACTTATGGGCTGGTGGTGTGGTGTGTTGGTAGGTGGCCACTGCTCCTCCACTCTTAAAAATATCAAGTAAATTTTGCAAAGTTGAAGAAAATATTAGATGTAAGGTGGGCGTCGGGATTTTATTTAGTGTCTAACTCGTTATATATAGTTCACAAGTTGATAGAATCATATATATAGAGCTCACAAAGTTCTTGAGCTATTGAAAAAAAATAGATAGAAGATTGATTATTTAAATGATGTTATTATTCCCTTTTTGATACTGATTGTCTATCTTCATCTAATTATGCTTAGGAGATACCTAACCCTAATTATGGCATCACTCCGTCTACTTGTTCTCAGTACCTAACTCGTTGTGTAATCTCTAAGCGGGGCGTTTTGACAATGTCTAGTGCTTAGACGGGCCGAAGTATAAGGTGAAGGGCGCTTTTTTTTTTTTTTTTTACCATAAGATTTTGTTAAGAATCTGGAAACTTTAGCCTCCTTCCCAATTATCTTTCAAATCTCTTAAAACTTAATTTTTTTTAACCCCTCATTTCGATTTCTAGATTGTTTACTTAGACAGCCTGCCGCTGGTCCCATGGCCTTAGCTTGTTTGGCGTTTTCCTCTGAGCTTCTAGATTGTTTACCAAAAGCCTTTTTTTCCTTCCCCGTCGTCACGTGTCTGCCTGGAGAGCTTTCCAATTCGTAGATTCCATGCACAGCTTCTTCGTCATGCAAAACCCAAAACAGAGCAAAAAAACCAAAACCAACTATGTCGTAAAAGTAGAAATTCAACCCCAAAGAATATGAAAAAAGGACCGGGTCTCCCACCCACCTCTCACCGTCTTGTTGATTATTTATTGCCGACGGTGGGAGTTGGATAGGCGATTGTTATTAGTTTTTTCGCCGACGGTGGGAGAGAGAACCTATCAAAAACATTTATGAACCGGGGACCAAAATCCAAGTGGCCTTGTCTTTACGACGTAGGCAGGCGGAGGCCGGAGGGAGGCCCATTGGGCCTTGTCCCGGGACAGGGGTAAATTTCGGAGGAACAAAAATATGTCATATGTATGTATATTGGTGATTTAAAACAACGCCCATAGGTAGTATTAGAGTATTTTTGTCACTACAGCACAACTCATTACTTATTCATAAACTGACATAAAATTAATTTATGATACTATAAACGAATTCTAATTGCAATAAAGACCTAATCGGATCTCTTTTCTCCTTATGCCTATTTGATTTTTTTTCCCAACTACCGTGAAATTGTCTAGCGACAACGACAATTCCACTAGTTTTGATTTTACGAATTACAATTGCAAATGTAAAAAGAGCATTTTTCAGCTTTGAGTTATATTAAGAACAAGTTTTCAAGTCGATTTGGCGACCAATTTGCTAATGCTAATTTAGTGAGATACATTGAAAAAGACTTATTTAATAGTGTAGACGACGAATGTTTTTGCGTTTCTTTAACAATATGAAATCCCTCCGTGGTTGTTAAAAAGAGGACAGGGATGGTTTGAAATGCTGGCTCCGCCACTGGCGGAGGGATTGCATGTTTCCGATTTTTTGACGGTAAAGATTGGTCGTATTTTGAATTGACTGGGGTCGGAAATCGATCACTCATTTGACTGATGGGTAAAGATTGAAACGCGCTTTTTTTTTGTCCTGGCAAAATTAAATCAAGCGTTGAGAGCGTGGATAATGTTTCTATACGGGTGTCACACATTCCTGGCCGGTGTAGCTAGTTGTTGGGAGAGATTCCTCTCATAATGTTTCATAAATATGTTACGTAATATGGTAGCATTAAACAAGTTATTCGTTTCATATATCGTGTAACAAAAATTTTAGTTATGGTTTGTTTTGTTCTCCTGATCCAATTGTATATGATTTGTAATAACTTCTCGGTGTTTGGTTAATTTGTTAATATTGAGTAAGCACCTTGTGTCATCCGGCAACATTATTAATGCCCGATTTAATTTATATGTCGTAAATTTGGACTACGAATATGGTGATTTGTGGTAAACTCCAAGTGATTTAATTTGGAATCTAGTGAAGATTGTTACTTCAATCTTTACAATGAGTAAAGATTGAAATGTTTTGTTAAGTGTTGAGAGCGTGAACAATGTTACACAATATTGCTAGTAGCTAGTTATTTAGTTACGACGATGTAAATGGTAGCATAATTGTAGTTATGATTTGTTTCGTGCTCCCTAATTGTAGGATTTGTAACAGCTTCTCAATGTTTGGATGTTTGTTTATATCGAGCACATACATTGTGTGATCCAGCCGCATTATTATTAATGCCTTGTTTCTTCATATATATCGTAAATTGTGGTAATTAAACTCTCATTGACTTAATCTAGAGTTTAGTGAAGATTTTTTCGGTCGATCACATTATCGATTAGGTGGATATATTAAGTGACGAGAACATTGTTAAATATCTACGTTTAATAGTTAACCATTAAAAATTTTTTGTTACACTTCTTATTTCTTAATTGTCAGGCAAGGGCAAAGATAATGCACAAATTTGCGGACCTGATCGACCAACACATCGAGGAGCTGGCGACCCTCGACACCCTGAACGCCGGCAAGCTGTTCAGCTGGGGCAAAGCGGTCGACATCCCTTCCGTGGCCAACACCCTCCGCTACTTCGCCGGCGCCGCCGACAAGATCCACGGCCAGGTCCTGAAGATGTCGCGGGAGCTTCACGCCTACACACTCCTCGAGCCCATCGGCGTGGTGGGGCTCATCATCCCGTGGAACTTCCCCAGCACCATGTTCTTCGTGAAGGTCAGCCCCGCCTTGGCCGCCGGCTGCACCATGGTCGTCAAGCCCGCCGAGCAGACCCCTCTCTCCGCCCTCTTCTACGCTCATCTCGCCAAAGAGGTACGTAAACCCGAACCGTTTAGTCGGTTTTCGATTTTACCCGTTAAGCACTTTGAGGTTACCGTTAAGCTCACCGTTTACATGAGTCAGTTAACCGTGATCGTATAGTCGATTCTCGGTTACCTACGTATGTGTTATTTTTTTAAAATTGTTATTATTAAATGAAAAAAATAATTTAACAAAATTATCAATTCGTATTCAATTTAGTCCAATATAAGTACAAAATAACAACATTCTATCGTCAACTTTGATTAAAGGAGCAAACAAACACAAGATACCTAACAACAATTACTCAACTCATAAACTTCACTAAATTACATGGAAGTTTAAATGTCATTGATTGTTCCCAAGCTACTATACTATATTCAATTCAAGTCAAACTTTCTACTATGCTCATTTTGAAGCTCTTCCTTTAAATTATTCTCGTTTAAATCTAAGTCACTATTATAATTAGGGTAGGCAAGATATCTTATATTCCTTCATATGCCTATGGCATATCGAGGCTTATTATGTTTTAACCTAACTATGAGGATGTCGTAATCGGTTAGTCACTAAACAATTTAACCATTGGTTAGTAACCGTTTAATTGTCGTTTAGTAATTAGCTAAATATGACTATCGGTATTCGACCGTTTTTACTAATTAATCAGTTATCAGCAGTGGCGGACCCAGAAATTTTCCATAGGGGTGTCCTCTTTTAAAAATAAATTAAATAAAAATAATTATTAATTAATAAAAATAAAATCGTAAATTTGAAAATATCTTACTCGTATAGGTTAAAAAAGTCCATGATTTGTTTTCATATTCAGAAATAATTGTAGAATACACTTGGTGTCTATAGTGTTAAAATTTTTTGTCTCTATATACCCTACTAGACAATCATTCACGAACTTATCGCATATTCGATTTGTAAACTTGTTCTCGATGTAACCCAAAGCTGAAAGACTCTTTCAACACATGCCACATTAAGGGTAGCTTGAAATTAGTTTAATTGTTAGGTTTTTAAAATAATTAGAGATAGGAAATGACATTTTACTATTACATTTTTCAAAATCGAACAACAAATGAGTTGTAGGTCAACGAAAATTAAGTTTATTAATAAGAATAGTGTTCTAGATTTGAATTACCCAATCTACCACTTATATTCATATACACAAATGACAGTAGGATAATCATGTTTTCAAATTTCAGGGGTGTCCCTCACTATCAATTATATTTTTTTTGTCCATACGTAAATTACCACCGGAGTTGGATAATCGTATTCCCAAAATTTAGGGGTGTCCGGGGACACCCCTAAAACCCCCTGGGTCCGGCCCTGGACCCTGGTTATCAGTATAACTATTAACCATAAATTTTAGTTTGGTTATCGGTTACACCGTTAATAGGATAATCGTTTACCCGCCCTAAATACGGGGAATTGTTTGTTAAAAATCACTGGTTAGGGATGCGTTTGCAATGACAATATAGTACATGGACTAAGTGCGCAACCCAAAAGATATCAAGAAGTATCATTTTGATCCCTAAACTTAACCAAGTGCTCTGTCCAAGCACCTAAACTTTCAAATTTTGTTCACCGGTGATGATCAGGCGGGAATTCCCGATGGAGTGATCAACGTGGTGAGCGGATATGGTCCGACCGCCGGCGCCGCACTTACTTCCCATATGAACGTCGACAAGGTACAGAATCAAAATTTATCCGATGACTTGCTTAAATTAACCGTTGGGTAATTTATATTTGTATCAATCGATTGTGTCAAGTAAAACTTACTCTGTTTTTTTCCGGGTGCTCTGTTTTCGGTTGGCAGGTGAGTTTTACAGGGTCAACCGAAGTGGGCCGGAAGGTGATGCAGGCAGCAGCGGCCAGCAATCTGAAAACGGTCTCACTCGAACTGGGCGGGAAATCTCCCCTCCTGATCTTCGACGACGCCGACATCGATCAGGCCGCCGATCTCGCCCTCTTGGGGGTCATGCACAACAAGGGCGAAGTCTGCGTCGCGGGATCGCGAGTGCTCGTACAGGAAGCGATCTACGACGAGTTCGTGAAGACATTGGTCGAGAAAGCCAAAGAATGGGTTGTTGGGGATCCTTTCCACCCAAATTCTCGTGTTGGTCCGCAGGCGAGAATTAACGAATGCTCTGTTTTTTTCCCTGCAATGGCGTGTGGTAAAAAAAAAAAAAGGTTTTAACGAATGCTCTGTTTTTTTTCTCCTGCAAGCAGGTTGACAAGAAGCAGTACGAGAAGGTAATGTCTTACATTGAGCACGGTAAGAGAGAAGGAGCGACCTTGCTCACCGGCGGGAAACCGGCGGCCAAGAAGGGATACTACATTGAGCCCACCGTCTTCACAGATGTCACGGTAAGCAACAATTTCCCGACCTCCGTGAAAACAGAGTCGATAAAAAGCGAATCGCTATCTGTCACAATTTTTGAAAAGCGCATAACAACCCTAGTCCCATGACTCAGCCAGATCGGTAACCCTAATTTTTTCTGTTCGCGTGTACTGTGTCGAATGAATTGCAGGATGATATGATGATAGTGAAGGACGAAATCTTTGGCCCAGTCATGGTGCTAATGAAGTTCAAGTAAAGCTTTTCCAAGCTAATTAACTTGTAATTGATGAATTGGTCATTATGCATTGATGTATGATGTATCTTTTTTTTCTTCTTCTTCCCCCCAATGTGGATGAGCACAGAACCATGGAAGATGGGATAAGAGCTGCAAACAACACGAGGTACGGGCTGGCGGCAGGGATCGTGACGAAGAGCTTGGATACAGCGAACACGGTGTCGAGATCGATCAGGGCGGGAGTGATATGGATCAACTGCTACTTCGCATTCGACAACGACTGCCCTTTCGGAGGGTACAAATCGAGCGGGTTCGGGAGGGATGAAGGGATGGTGGGTCTTCAGAAGTACCTCCAGGTTAAGTCTGTGGTCACTCCACTTTACAACTCTCCTTGGCAATGAATCATACAATGGATCATTCATGGAGGGTGGGTTTGCCTTGGAAATGAGGGTTCTGTAGCTAAGGAGAGAAAGGGGAAAACAGGGGAGACAACACATGGTGTTTTTTTAAACTTTTTTTGGTTTATGGATAGGACAAGTAATACAATTCATAAAAAATGTGTAATTGTGTTGTGAATAATGATCTATATTACAGCTTACATTCTATGAACTTCTGTGAGGATGGATCTAGCTACACCCACTGCAGTTGTGCATTCCCTGTAAAAAGAGATGAAGCAAATTTGATTCCCTTCATTCTCTCTATTGAGAGAAGGGGGGAAACTTTAGTTTGATGCTGAAGTTTGGAATATGCTTACTTTGTTTGATTGATTGTTTCTCTTGTTTTATCTTCGTGTTAATATTTTAAATTGGCTCGAACTTTACTTAAATAGACTAGTTTGATATGTGGTTTATGAAAATACATATACTGGCCTAAACTATGCACCATCTATACTAATCTGACTCGATGAATTGGTTGACTGTTAACACGCCCTTTCCTGGGTACTCTGTAGAGTGTACTATAAATTTAGTTCCACTACTGAAGTGCAAACAATTTCTTGTAAAAAAATTATTGTAGAATGCATAAGAAAGAAACAAATGGCATTTCAATATTCGCTTCCAGATCCATGTGCATGTAGAAGCGGAGGAAACATTCCAAATTGGTCTTGTTTTAAGTCTATAACTTTTTATCCATACTACCCAAAAAGATCCTTTTTCTACCAAAATACTCAAGAAGTGTCTCATCACACAAGTCTGATTCCATATACGAAAATTTCTCACTCGCAAAATTAGATAATATTGTCAGCATGAACAATCTCGTTTATTAAAGTTGTTACATGCGTAATCTCATCAACAATGGTATTCGTATTCGACGAGAATACTAGTGTGAGGATAATACTAAGGAGCGGCGATTCAAGGATTCCTATAGGAAAATAAAACCAAATTTATAACTAGTCATGTGTAGTCTAGGCACTAGGGTTTAGAATTGCAAGTTGACTTGCCTTTCGTGGAGAATGATATAGTAAGAAATTAATTTAATTACGTCTCGATCGAGTTATTATTAGTTTGATTTTATGGTTTTGGTTTGAACCATACCAAAACTAAAAGTTCCCAAATCGAAAGACGAACGATTAGATTCGATCGGATGTGAACTAAATTGCTGTCCGAGCCTATGAGTTCTTCTTACAATAAATTGAACATCGACAAATTTAGGTTCCTCAATAATCCCAAAGTAAAACATGGACCATCGAATACAATGAAACCTAATTTTTTAATTAATGAAACCTCATTTAATTACAACAAATGAATGGAAAAACGAGAAACAAATTGGAACCGGCTGCCCTACTCTCTTTTTATATATAGGAAACTTCTGTGGCCGGCCGGGAAACTGCTCATCAGAACGGCAAAAGACAAAACAACGGGAAACGCCAGCGAGGTTCCGTCGTTTAATACAGTTAAACGACGGAAAAATCCCGTTGAAATCTCAGAAAGCATCCACTTTCTGGCTTTAACCAAAAGCCCCTTCACGGAGAAGCCGTCTGCAACTCTACCAGTCTATCTAAGCATCACCTCCATTCTTTCTCGTCTTCGTCATCCCTTCCATGTCCATAAATACCACCGCTACAGAGCTCCGAGCTTTCCCAAACAATTACAGACCCTGAAGTTGAAAATGGCAACCAGTGAAGAAATCAGCAACGGAAAGACCAGCTCCTTCTCCAACCTCATCCCCACGATCAAGTTCACCCAGCTCTTCATCAATGGCCAATTCGTCGACGCAGTTTCAGGTTTCTCCATCTCCACTCCCCCTCTTATTCTTTCCATTTGTTCTTTATCCACCAGGAAATAATCAATTCATTCATTTCGTCAACAGGAAGAACATTGGAGACAATATCGCCAAGAACAGGGGAAGTAATCGCCAGAGTCGCCGAAGGCGACTCCGTTGACGTGGATCTCGCCGTCGCAGCAGCTCGCCAAGCCTTCGATCACGGCCCATGGCCTCGAATGTCCGGATTCGTAAGCAAAGACTCTGACTTTCCTTTTCTTCTTCTCTTTTTTTCTTGATGTCTAACCCAAAATCGGATGCTCTGTTTTTTTTCTCCAGGCGAGGGGCAGAGTCCTGTCGAAATTCGCCGACTTGATAGACCAAAACGCGGACGAATTAGCCGGACTGGAATCCATCGACGCCGGCAAGCTGTTCACCTTCAACAAAATGGCCGACATCCCTTTCGCGGCGAACCTTCTCCGGTACTACGCCGGCGCGGCGGACAAAATCCACGGCGACGTGCTGAAGATGTCCAGGGAGCTTCACGGGTACACTCTGCTCGAGCCGATTGGAGTCGTCGGGCATATAATTCCATGGAACTTCCCCTGCACCCTGTTCTTCTCGAAAGTCGCGCCTTCCCTCGCCGCCGGCTGCACGATGGTGGTGAAGCCCGCCGAGCAGACCCCTCTCTCTGCCCTGTTCTTCGCCCATCTCGCCAGGGAGGCCGGGATCCCCGACGGAGTGATGAACGTGGTGGTCGGGTACGGCGCCACGGCCGGGGCGGCGATCTCGGCTCACATGGATGTCGACAAGGTGAGCTTCACTGGCTCGACGGAGGTCGGCCGGAAGGTGATGCAGGCGGCGGCGTTGAGCAATTTGAAGCCGGTGTCGCTCGAGCTCGGTGGGAAGTCGCCGGTGCTGATTTTCGACGATGCTGACGTGGACAAGGCTGTTGATCTTGCTCTCCTCGCCATTTTCTACAACAAGGTGAGTCCTTTGTTTCCCGTTTTAGCTCCCTTTTTTGCCGGGAAAGGGACGTTCGTGTGATTCATTACTTCGGCAGGGAGAAGTTTGTGCGGCGGGGTCCCGTGTGTTTGTTCAAGAAGGGATCTATGACGAGTTTGTGAAGAAATTGGCGGTGAAGGCGAAGGAATGGACCGTCGGCGACCCGCTTGATCCCACGACTCGTGTTGGACCTCAGGTAAGGTGGTTACTACCCGGATTTAGATTTCGATTTAACCCGAAACTGAACCGATAAAAGGCGTTAAAACAAATTTTCTATATGTAACGTAATCGACACATTATTTTTGGTTTTGGACGCAAACCAGAAGCATAACTCGAACTCATGTTGTATTATAGGTCAACAAGACACAATTTGAAAGAGTGTTGTCTTACATTGAGCACGGCAAGAGAGAAGGAGCCACGTTATTAACTGGCGGCAAACCGGCTGCCGAGACAGGATTCTACATCCAGCCCACTGTTTTCACTGATGTTAAGGTTTGAAACTCGTTCAACTGATTGATTCGTAGGTCGTAATTCGACTAATGGGCAGAATTGTCCAAATTTCGATTTTGTTTGTCATTGACGTTTCAAAAATCTAATACCAAACAATCTCTACAGGAAGACATGATGATATCCAGGGATGAGATCTTCGGACCAGTGATGGCTCTAATGAAGTTCAAGTAAGCACAATGCACCTAACTCAAAGACGCACAAGTAACCCGGAACATACGACACTAAACCGATATTTCCTTTTATTTTTTGTTTTGATTATCAGGACGATAGAAGAAGGGATCAAGTATGCAAACAACACGAAGTACGGCCTTGCTTCAGGAATCGTGACGAAGAGTTTGGACATCGCGAACACGGTGTCGAGATCGATCAAAGCCGGCGTCGTTTGGATCAATTGCTACCATGGGTTCGACATTGACTGCCCCTTTGGAGGCTACAAGATGAGCGGATTCGGCAAAGATTTTGGAATGGAAGCCCTTCACAAGTATCTCCAGACCAAAGCTGTCGTCACTCCTATCTACAATTCTCCATGGCTTTAAAACAAACCCTAATAATCCATCAATCCATCCATTTGGTTATGGAAAATGTTTCCTTTAGAGTTTCAAACAATGGCAATTTTCATTTTACCCTACCAAATAAGCAAAATTATTATGCTATGCTTACATCTTTTTTTCCATGTATTATGAAAACATTTACAGCAGAGTATTTCTCATTTCAATCAAGCTGAATAAATTACAAACAACAAACAAACTCTACAATATCACCAAACAGGGGCGAGTTGTCCGAGTTGAGGTTTGAACCGGGCCGAATCGGATAACAATTGTAATGAAAATCCAACGGTGGAGATTGATGGTGAAGTGGCGTACTGGCAGGAACCCTCTGGCTGACTGTATCGACACCTGGACTCAATCCTGCCACGTCAATATTAGAAAGTACCGCGTTGAAAAGTCAAAATGAGTGGCACCAAAATCGAACGGTGTGGATTGACGACTGGGAAAACCCCAGCTCACAATCTTACGGAGCTCTCCTCGTTCCTCGTCATCGGCAGCGGGAAATTGGAATTGCGAGGCAGAGGATTTTGGCGCCAAAATTTTCTTTATTTCCCACTTCGTATATCAGAAGCTTCTCAGTTTCCACCTCTTTCAACATCGGGAGGATTTCCTATTCGAAAAAAATGCAGCGGCAGAAATCGCTCCATGCTTTCTTCCAGAAGTCCTCGACGGCTAATCGGAGCTCCGGCCGCGAGGACGTAGCTCACGGTCACCCGCCGTCGCTTGTTTCGGCGAAGGAGCGGAATCTCCAACCCGGCCTTCCGAGTCAGCGTGTGGCGAACTCATCCGATGATGTCACAGGAACCGGCACACCTCCGGAGAAGATGCCGCGCCCGATCCTACCGGCGAACTTCTCCGCGAGTACCGACGGCGGAGGTTCTTCGCTTTTCTCCAGTATTATGCACAAGTTCGCTAGGGTTCCAAACAGGTTAGGTCCTGACGAGCGAGCTATCTTCGCCATTTGCCAGTGTTGCGTTGCTGTTTTTTCAATTTTTTTTGTATCATCCTAGGGTTTGGCTCTGGTGCGAGTTTGTTCGCTTCCATCCGCATTAATAGTTTCAGTTTGATCTCGTTCCGCAAGAGATGTGATTCCTTTTGAATTTGTTCATTTTGCGACCAAATTGAGTGTTGGAGTTGATTTAGGGTGATGGTGGAATTGCAGGAATCAGGCTGATTCTGTTGGTGCTCGCTTGACTTCAGCTCCATCATTAGGCAATTTAGGATTTCATAAACTGGGAACCATTGATGAGAATTCAGTCAAAGATAGTGCTGCTAAGTCCAGTAAGTTAGGAGGTGTCTTGCCCTCTGGAAGGGGCGATGATGATGATGTCCAGGGTCCCGAGACACCTGATGAGCAACCGCTTGCTCGGCGAATGAAGCGAATTCATGAAGACATTCCTAAGTTAGGTGATATGAATGATTGTTCGTTGCTGGATAATGGCAAGAAAGCTAAACTTATGCAAGGGTCCACTGCCCAGGGGAAGAATCAGGGAGAGATTTGTAATGATCTTGCTAGCAAGTTTGAGTGGCTTAACCCTTCGGGAATTAGGGATGCTAATAGAAGAAGGCCTGACCATCCTCTTTATGATAAAAAGACGCTTTACATACCACCTGATGCTCTGAAGAAAATGTCGGCATCTCAGAAGCAATACTGGACTGTCAAATCTGAGTACATGGATGTTCTGCTTTTCTTTAAAGTGGTTAGTTAATCTCACTTGTTTGATGCTTTCTCTATGTGTATCAGTTGTTCATGGTGTGGCTTACTCTTGAGCTTTACTTATCACCACATGCCTTACACTTTGGCTCATTGCAGCCTTGCAGAGAATCCATTTTGTTTGCTCTTTCATGATTTTGTATTGTGTTTGTCTCAACCAAATCTATATGATAACCAAACCGTATATCTGAAGTCCCTTTTTGCATCTTACTGGCTGAGTGCTGGCTGTTGATTTCTTAATAAACCCGGGTGTTCTAAACTCAGCAACTTTACATCCACAATAGGGGAAGTTCTATGAGCTTTATGAGCTGGATGCTGAAATTGGTCACAGGGAGCTTGATTGGAAAATGACATTCAGTGGTGTTGGAAAATGTCGGCAAGTAAGTTCCATATGAAGTGTATACTTCAATGCAAGTTTGTAGCCACTTTCGATAGTTGCTTTCTCAGAAATGATAACACTTTTTGAGCGCAGGTTGGAATATCCGAATTTGGGATTGATGATGCTATAGAGAAACTCGTTGCTCGGGGGTAGGAAAACAGTAACTCTGTGAAATTATGTTCACATATTTCTTTCATGTTCTTGGTTAGTCTATGCCCAAGGATGAGTCAGCATGTGTTCTTGCCCGAGGTAAAATAAAGTCATTAAGATAATTCTCCAGTCTAGCAAGTTACTGCTGGGAAATTGCACGTTAGTGGCTGGTACTTAACTTTCCTTGATTAGTACAAATTCATACTCATCACTCATTAAAAGATTTCATGCTTGCAAATTCAAAATCTTGAACTAAAAGTATTAGAAATTCCTAGAGGTATGTTTTTTGTACATTGTCTGCATGATCCTATGACCCATGGGCGAGTGGATTTCTTGCTTTAAGTTTCATTAGACAGAAATAGGTCAACAATCTTGTCAGCCAAGGTTTGGCATTCAAATATCAGCATTTGGAATGCGTAGAAATGCTTTAACAAGGAGACAAAGAAATGTCCTCATGGAACTCAAAATTATTTTCCATGATCTCAAATTCACTGAAATGACATTGCTTCTTATTGTCAATCATTCTGCATCTCTTATTTTCTTGCCTGAGAGAGTGCATTTGTTTTCTCTATGATCGTTTCCAAGGTATAAAGTTGGGAGAGTGGAGCAGTTGGAGACATCTGATCAAGCAAAGGCCAGGGGTCGAACTTCGGTACATTCACATTAATTTACAAGAGCGCTATATTATATTTCTAAGCTCTTTTCTCCCTGGAATTTTTTTTATCATTTGTACCCTTGATGTTGAACAGGTGATCACCAGAAAATTAGTCCAGGTTCTTACTCCATCAACTACAACTGATGGTATCATTGGGCCAGATGCCGTTCATCTTCTTGCACTCAAGGAGGTAATTTCATAATCATATGTTTGTAAAGCTTTTCGTGATGAACCTATAAATGAGACTGCTGTTGTCAGTCTTCTTGGTCCTAGAGGAACAATAACATCTCTGCAATTTTCCACGATGAAGGTGTTCATCTTCTTTGTACTTCCTAAGGATGCAAAGCTTATATGATTCTATGGTTTTGCTAATTAATTCTTTATATTCAATCTTAACGGGATTGCACTCTATGGATTAGTTCTTATTTAGCATTTCCATTAATTCTTCTATTATCATCTGGTGTATGCTAAGTACCCACTATAGCTGACACTATTAGTCAGTTTGTTAGCCTTGTTAAATCGTCTTGTGAATTGTCATCAGGGAAATTATGGGCTTGATAATGATGCAACAAGTTATGGATTTGCTTTTGTTGATTGTGCTGCTCTTCGATTTTGGATTGGCTCCATAGAAGATGATGCTTCCTATTCTGCTTTGGGAGCACTGTTGATGCAAGTATGATCCGTTTCCAATCACATAAAGTTGTTGCACTGCAGCTGGTAATCTTGTCAAATACACAATCTGATGGCTTCTTTGTTATTTTACTGCAGATCTCACCTAAAGAAGTTATACATGAAAGTAGAGGTACATGTGTTTTTTTCCAGTTCATCTTGGATGCTGAATTCAGTAAAATATGAAATTTGAATAGGTTAATTTATACAGACAGGGGGAAAATTGGAGATAATAGGCTGGAGCTTCTTTGGTTGTCCACTTCGGATGTGCACTTATATGATTATCCATCCAATGCTCATTGTCAGCCAAGTGTAGTCAAAGAATTTGTCTAAGTGTAAAATTGAGCCTTTACCTAATCCTTACTGCCCTTAAAATATGCAGGGCTGTCCAAAGAAGCCCAGAAAGCACTGAGGAAGTACACATTAACTGGTGCGTGCAGTTATCTCTCAAAAAGCACTGTGGCTGCCCCAGAGCTAGAAACTTGTTTCTGTGTATCTATTTTTGTTGCTTGTTGGGGGTAGCCAGAAAAGATTATGTGGTGTACTCCCTAGTTTATGTTGTGTTTCCAGTCTTCCATTTATACGTTTCTGGATTTCCTGTAAAGGTGTTGCTGGCATGGCTCATGTTGATCTCAATCAGTTATCTTTCTTGAACAATATGGTGAATATGTTATGGATTCTTGCTTAACTAGAGGGATTTGATTGCACTGAGCTCCGTTTCCCCTACATCTGCCTACATTTCAGGTCCAGCAGCACCACAGTTGACTCCTGTACTGCCTGCCACTGATTTTGCGGATGCTTCTGAAGTAAGAAATTTGATCCAGTTAAAGGGTTTCTTTACAGGGTCTTCTAGGCCAGTGAATAGTGCACTTGACAGTATAATGCACCAAGACCTAGCCTTATCAGCTCTTGGTGGTCTTATTGGTCATCTCTCTCGGCTGAAGGTATGCACAATAACAAGCCCCTCAGCTTGCGTGCTTTTAGGTGTTGTCATTATCTGCTGTGCTGACTTGTGTTTCTTTGGGTACAGTTAGATGATGTTTTGCGCAATGGTGATGTTCTACCTTACGATGTTTATAAGGGTTGCCTTAAAATGGATGGGCAGACTTTAGTTAATCTTGAAATTTTTTGTAATAATGCAGATGGTGGTTCATCAGGCAAGTCTGCTCTTCCAATCACTTCTCCTTTTCTTACTTCTTTGACTGTAGTTGTTCTGGTAAACTAACAACTCATAGAGTTTTCTACTTATTTGAACTTCAGGTACATTATTTAACTATCTTGACAACTGTGTTACGTCATCCGGGAAACGGCTTTTGAGGAAGTGGATCTGCCATCCATTGAAATGTGCTGAAGGCATTAATAATAGGCTCGATGCAGTTGAAGTTTTGATAGCTCGTCCTGAAGTTACTCTTATCATTGCTCAATGTCTGCGGAAACTACCGGATTTGGAGAGGCTGCTTGGACGTGTTAAGGGTAGCATTCAGGCATCATCCTGTCTAATACTGCCCTTAATTGGCACAAAAATATTGAAACAGCGTGTAAGTAACCTGCACCATCCTGTAGTCCTCAAAATCTAAGCTTTCAGAATGTAATATTACTTTGAGAA